TTAATAACAATAATAACAATAATAATAGTAATCATAGTAATTATAATAATAATAGTAACAATAACAATAATAATTACACTAATAACAACAATAGCAATAATAAAAATAGAAATAAAAATAATAAAAATAATAATAATAATAATAATAAAAATAAAAAAATATATTTATAATAATAAAATAATAACAATACTAACAGTTATAAAAATAATAATAATAATAACAATAAAAACAATAAGAACAATAATAATAATAATAATAATAATAATAATAACAACAATAATAGTAATAATAACAATAATAATAATAGTAATAATAACAACAACAATAATAATAATAGTAATAATAATAATAATAATAATAAAAATAATAATAATAATAATATTAATAATAATAATAATAACTACAATAATAATAATAATAATTATAATAATAATAATAATTATAGTAATAATAACAACAACAATAATAATAATAATAATAATAATAATAATAATAAAAATAATAATAATAATAATAATAATAATAACAATAATAATAACAATATCAATAACAATAATAATATCAATAATAACTATAATAACAATAATAAAAATAATAATAAAAATAATAACAATAATAATAACAGTATCAATAATAACAATAATAAAAATATTAATAATTATAATAACAATAATAATAATAAAATAAATAATAATAATGTCAATAATATAAATAATAATACTAATAATAATAATAATAATAATAATAATAATAATAATAATAATAATGATAATAACAATAAAAACAGTATCAATAATAATAATAACAGTAATTATATCAATTATAACAGTAATAATAATAATAATAATAATATAAACATTAACAATAATAATAATTATAATAACAATAATAGCAATAATAATAATAATAACAATAATAATAATAACAATTATAATAATAATAATAAGAATAATAATAATAATAATAATAACAATAATGACAGTAATAAAAATAATATTAATAATAATAATGTCAATAATAATAATAATAATAATGATAATATTAATATTAATAATTAAAATCATAACAACAATAAAAACAATATCAATAATAACAATAACAATAATAATATTAATAATTACAATAATAATAGTAACAGTAATAATATAAGCAATAACAATAATAATAATTATAATAACAATAATAGCAATAATATTAATAATAACAATAATAATAATAACAATAATAATAATTATAATAATAAGAACAATAATAATAATAATATTAATAATAACAATGGCAATAATAATAATAATAATTATATTAATAATAATAATGGCAGTAAAAATAATAATAATAATAATAATAATAATAACAATAACAATAAAAAGAATTATAATAACAATAATAACAATAATAATCATAACAGTAACAATAATAATAATAACAATAATAGTAATTACAATAATAATAATAATAATAATAATAATAACAATTACTGTTGAATGAATTATAATAACAATAATAGCAATAATAATTATAATAACAGTAATAATAACAATAACAGTAAAAGGAATTATAATAAAAATAATAGCTATAATAATAATAACAGTAATAATAACAATAACAATATTGATATTAACAATTATAATAATTACAATAATAATAATAATAATAATAATAATAACAATAAAAATAATAATAACAATACTAATAATAATTCTTTTTTTATGGTCTTAGAATGCGAAACTTTACGCACTAACCCAGGGACTCTGCCCGCCAGAGGAAGCCTTCACCATTTGGATCCCTCTCAAATTCCCCGGAGTGTCGGGCTCACCGTTGGAATAGGCACTACCGACTAAACTCATATCCATCCTAGTGGCATAGTAAATCCATCCCGGCACTGCCATGTGGCATTATTTCAGGATGGCGCCACGGCTTCTTGTCCCATAACTGGCATCTCTCTTCGGCTCTACGTCTCAGGAAACAGGAGCAACGTTTGGTGGCTCTTCTATGGGCCACCCATATCCTTCTACTTCTTGCTTAAGATTGACCTAACGTACCAGGCCACCTTGTTCCACACCTGCTGCCCACGTTGCATTTTCTCGACGACGTTATCCGGCGAGATGACTCCGAGGACTTGTTCCAAGTCTAGTCGTTCCGCGCTCCACCTTGTGCATAAAAAAAACGTGTGGTGGTTGTCGTCGTTGATCGAGTCCCCATAGGGGCAGTTGGCGTCTTCTACCTTCCTCATTCTAGCCAGGTAGGAGTGGAACAGGCCATGCCCTGTCAGGAATTGGGTGATGTAGAAAACGACTACTCCCGCCTCCCTATTTAACCAGTTGTCTAGTTGACTGATGAGTCGAGCAGTCCATCTGTCCCTACGTTCCTGCTCCCATCTACTTTGCCAGGCCTTGATGCTGATAGACCTGGCAAGCCTTTATGCCTACTCCTTTCCCATGACACACCTTTGCTGGTGGACGAATTTCTTCTCCGGGGCTAATAGATCGATCGGGATTACCCCGGCGACAACTAGCACTGCCGGCTCTGAGACCGTGCGGTAAGGTCACGCGATTCGGAGAGCGCCCCTCCTCTGTACCGCGGCTATGCGCTTGTGGTGTTTCTGTTTTCTGAACGCCTCGGCCCATATTTCCGCACCGTACAGCATCACTGCTTCTGCGGAACGCATCAGTAGTCTCCTCATGCACGGCCGGGGACCGTTAACATTGGCCATGAGCATGCCCAGTGAGGCTACTACTTTCTCAGCTGCACTGATAATATGCTCACCATAGTTAAGCTTGTTGTCAAGCATAACCCCGAGATATTTGACAGCCGGCTTAGTCAGGACCGCTGCATCTCCTACAATGAAGCTGCGCAAGGTGTTGATGCGCTTCATCGTAATTAGCACGATCTCTGTCTTCTGGGCTGCTAGAGATAGCCCGTGGTCTTCCATCCAGAAGGTAACTCTCCGCATGACCTGTTTGAGCAGCAACTGTACCCCCTCCGTGTCTCTTGCGGTTATGACAACTGCAATGTCATCTGCATAAGCAACCAAGAAAGTACTTTCTGGGACTGTCATACGAAAGATACCTTCGTAGAATATATTCCATATATCCGGTCCCAGTATAAAGCCCTGGGCTGCCCCCGATGTCAATTCCAAGCTTCTTGGACCATCATTCGTGTCGTATACTATGAAGCGCTCGTTTAGATAATCGTCAATTATTGGGAGTAGGTCCTTCGGAACGTCGAAATTACGTTCGAGCGCTTCCTTTGCCAGGTCCCACCTGACAGAGTTGAAGGCATGTATCACGTCTAAGGTGGCCAGCAGGCACAGAGGTCGAGTTCGATGATTGCCTCGCTCCATCATTTTAGCGGCCGTGACCACCTCCAGGACTGCGTGGATGGTGGAGAGGCCGGATCGGAATCCGTACTGCCGGCCGGCAAGATCCCCCGCTGCCTTCACGGCTGCACGCAGCCTTGGCTTTATCAGCTTCTCCAGGAGATTTCCAGCCGTATCGAGCATACAAATAGGCCTGTATGATGAAGCTGCCCCTACTGGACCCTTGCCCTTGCTAATGAGCACAAGCTTCGCTTTCTTCCATGGAGCGAGAAAGATGCCCCCCCTGAGGCACGTGTTATACATGTTCAGCAATAGCTCACGGTGACTTTGCGCGACGACTTTAATTATTTCTGCTAGAAGTCCGTCTGGACCTGGAGCTTTCTTGTTCCGCATAGATGATGCGGCCCTGAGTAGCTCTTCTTCCGTGAATTGCGGTACCTCGCTTATTCCGGGCGCATCCAAGCTGATCTCTCTCTTCGGCTATGGGGGGAATAGAGTATGCACGATGTGATCCAACGTCCTCGCGTCCTGAGGGGTCCCTTGCGTGTTAGTCCTCAGCTTGCGAGTGACGATGACATACCCTAATCCCCACGGATTCTAGTCGACATCCAGGCACAGCTCCTGCCAGCAATGTCGTTAACTGGCCTTGATGGTCCTCTTCAGGCCTTTCTTGGCCGCTTGATAGTCTGCGGCCAAAGGAGCAGCGTCGTGGTCGCGTCTCTTCGCTCGTTGTGCTAAACGGCGTAGCCTTAAGCACTTCTTACGTACATCTGTGATCTCGTTCGTCCACCAATATACAAGGCGTCTCTGCCGTCTCGTGCCATTCTTTGGCACCGCTATCGCACAAGCCTTTTGGATGTGCTGCATGATTGCTGCGCTAATCAACCTGGCTTGTGCAGGTGGCGATAGACTCGCTGAAGTGCTTTGTTGGGATCTCCATCCTTCCTCTATGACCGAAGACAGCCTCTCTCGATCCATTCTTGCAATGTTCCACCGGGGGGTTCGCTTTACACTTGTCACGGCTGGCCTCCTATCATGTACATCGAATAGGATGTACTGATGATCGCTCCTGGTATAATCCTCGATCACCTGCCAGCCTGCGACTCTTGCCACTAGGTGTTTGTTGGCTAGAGAGACATCCGGGATGTCTCTCTAGAGACACAGAGGATCTCTCTGTAGCCTGGCCTGCGGAAGGTTGACGTCGAACCTGTGTTGAGTACTGATAGCTCCAGTCTCGACGCCACCTCCATGATACGTCTTCCTCTGGAGTCCGGCCTAACCTCCCCCCCTTCGAGTGCTTTGGCATTGAGGTCTCCAGCCACAATTAGATCCCTTTGCATTTCCCGTAGCGCGTCTTCCAGATCGTCCAGTTTAATTTGGAAGTCGTCTATCCGGTCGTTCGGAGTGAGATATACACTGACAAAAGTCGTCGAGTTATGTCTCACTCAAACGTAACCGCGTCCGGATCTTTGGTCCGACACATGTATTAGTCGGGGATCTGGGATCCAGATGGCCGCGGTGCCCAATTCGTCTGCGAACCATCCTACTTTTGCTCTGTCCTGGTACTGTTCGCTGATTAGCACAATATCAGTTTTTTTCTCAAAGCTAAGCTGGGCTAGAAGGTGATGCGCCCTCCTGCTCCTATTCAGGTTACCCTGAAGTACTCTCATCCTTTTTTTTTCTACTTCTTTGCTGTTGCAAGGGCTTCCTGTAAAGCTTTGCAGGCCCTTGATCCCGCCAGGTGCTTCCTAGTTTCAACACCGCTCTTTGAGCACAAGAAGCAAGTTGGCTCGCTGACCTTGCACTCTTTGATCTTGTGCCCCGTGCTGCCACAATAATTGCAAACCTTACTGCGGTCAGGTCCTTTGCACGAGGCACTATAGTGACCATAATCGAGACAGCGGGAGCATCGCCTCACTTCTGCCCTGACCCTGCAGCTGATGAAACCAATCAGCACTCGACCGGCCTTTAAAAGCTGCGCAGCTGCTTTCTCTTCAATTTTGACGAGGGCCAGGCGTTGTTGTCTTGCGTTGGGGTTCGTAATCTTAATTTCGATTTTCCCCGCGTAGCCTCGCAGGGTCCTCTTTAGGGCTTCCTCGACTTCTATCGACGAGGTGCAGCAGTCACAGTCCCGTAACTCCAGAGTAGTTCTAGGGACCAGTTCCGTGATGCTGCTCGTTCCTCCGATCTCTTTTCTCAGGGTTTCCGCGAATGAGGCCCTGATATCCACGGTGGTCTTCATTAGTTCGAGGAGAACCCCTCCGGTTCTAGTCTGCCGGACCGATCTAATGTCTACACCTGAGGCGCTGTTCTTGAAGCGCTGGTGGATGATTCCGACTACGTCTGCGTAAGATTTTCCTTGCGCAGGTTTCAGAAGGATTGCGTCCGGCCTAGTTCTCTTTCTCGGTCTATCCTTCGATCTTCTCGGCTTCTTTTTCTCCTGATGTAGGAGTTTCGTCGCCTTCGTCCCTGGTTTCTCCTTATTTCCTTTCTTCTTCACGACCTCTGTCCACACGGTGGATTCAGTCGTCGTTGCCTCTTGCCTCAGTCTTTTGAGGGTTTCTTCAGACAACTGCGGCGGGCTTGAGGCTACTCTCTTACCTGCGCTGGCCTCAGTCGTAGAATTAGCCCGAGGGCTCTGTGAAACTCGGGTGAGGATCCTCGATCCCTTATTGCCCTTTTCTCAAGATTTGTACATGAACTCGAGATTGTCTATGATATCTTCCAGTTCTGGGATCCCTTGCTTAATCTCCTTGTTTATGTTTGGCTGTCTCGTAATAGCCAGCTTCATTTTGGCAAGGAGTAATTTCGCTTGCCCGAGTTTCTCTCTCTCTCTATTTTGTTGTGTCCCCTTCGCAGGCTGAGAGCCTACGCTTTTGTCGCCTTGAGTAGCGATGTTATTTACAGATGGTTCTGGGGTGTTTTGTTGTTTATTGTCTTTTTCGTTTTGTGTGTTTAGTTTTTCTTTTGTGCTTTGTTTTTCCATGTGTTCAAAATACTTCCTCCAGAGTGCCTGGCCGTCTCCGAACGCGGTGTCTCCGGAAGTGGGGGGGTGATCACCCACGCAACTACCCCCATTGCTGCGAGAGCTTTTGGCTATAAGGTCGGGAATAAAGCATCCGCCCTTGCCTTTCACCTACTTCCTTCATCGGCTTCCTGACACTCCCGTGGGTGCGACGCGTTGACGCCGGGAATTTTCCACGAGAACCGCGCTTTACGTATCATCCCTTTCGGGCAGCGTCAGCGTACCCGCTAATCCTCGTGGCCCTGCCGTAACCCTGGCTTGGGGCCCTTACAGGGTGCTGTCATCCGGGCCAGATGAGCCCAGGTTTTTTTTTTGAGAGGTTGTACTCCTCGTATCACGGGGACCGACGGCGCTAGTCGTCGGTAGAAGAGAAATGCTCATCTTCTCCCCTTGGTGGATTATTATTATTAGGTGGAAATTGCCGAGATCCGTCCATACAGCCATGTTCGCAACCGCGTTCCAAAAATTGAAGCATAGGATATAAAAACCCCACAGTTGACTGTCGCTAGAGTTTATTTTATTTTCCTTCTGATCGAAGCGCCTCTTGTGCCCTGCAATTGAGTTTATCGTCTTTCTCTGTAGTGGAATTAAGTGTCGCTTGCGCTGGTGGCTGCTCTGCCGTCCTAGTCACTAGTAGATGGCGCTGCATGAGTCCTCGGTGGGCCGCCGACTCTGCCGCTCGACCATGTCATATAGTTCGCGGAACTAACATGTCCTAGTTGGCAGCACCGGACAACAACCGAGATGGCGCCCAATACCTCGTAGATCTTGATCGACTCTATCCGCCAATCCCAGAGGGCAGCTCATCTTTAACCGTAGTGGTATATGTAATATGTGCTGAAGGTGGCGCTGCCATCGCACCCTGGGGTAGGTGGCGCTGAATCAGATCCCGATGGAAGGTCGAGTCTGCCGTCCATTCGTTAAAATATAATTCCCGAAACTAACACATAATGGCGAACAAAGCCTCGACAATCCAACCAAGCACATCTTCATCAACCACGTAATAGATGATAGATCTGAAGATCCGGTAATTATCTCCCATTTCCTACCGCGTACAAATTCCCAAGCTAGTTATATTTCATATTTCCAAGTAATGGGAATAGATGGAGCTAGCGCTGGCAGAGGCATTACCGTCGTTATAAATAGTTGATACCGC